CACCTCCTGGACGTTTCGGCCCTGAAAGTTTCAACCTCAATTTTTAACCACCATTTTTTCAATTTGATAAATATATATAATAAATACCATGCATTATGGGTTATAATATATTCTAACATGACCCGCATTTACCCTATTGAACATAGAAGAACAGAAAGTGTGTGTTATTATGCAACAGATGCACAGTTTGACATTCTATATTTAGACATGTGACGTAATCATTATACACGTGACGTAACCACTAAAAATCTGACGCGCTGAAAATAAGTACGGAAACAAATCTGCTTAACTATCAAGTACGGCAACATTTATTTGTTGATGTCGTGTTAGAATCGAAATAGTATATCCAAATCAGTGATTTTATCGCTTGATAACATCACTATTTGTCGTTCGAATGTGCATCATTATATCACTGGGGCTACGCCCTCGTGATATAATTCCTCGCATCCGAACTCCAAACAGTGATGTTATTGAGCGATAAAATCACTGTTTGGGATAATTATATTATTTCTTAAATATATATAATATAAAACATACTTGCAAACATGATTGATATAAAAAAGATTTTCGGTGATATTACGTATAATGAAATTTCCCTGGGAAAATAAATATTAATTTGATTTTTATATGAGTTCTGAAAAAATTAACAGCTGTAAAACTCCATGCATATATTTATTCTTTTTTTTTTAAAAAATAAATTCCATAAAAAGATATTGATAAAATATGTTTTAATATAACAGATAAGAACGATTATAGAAGTGTGAAAAGCCTAATGAAATTCAATGAATTAAAGTGTTATATTAAGAATAAACTTCTATTTTGGGCCCAAAACTGTAAGAGAGAAAAAAATGAGGAAATTGGAGAAACTTGTCAACCTCATGCACCTCGATCCATAAGTGCCAGGAGGGGAGGAGTGTTGGACTCCAATAATTTGTGAATCATGTGTAAACTGTAAAGTATATGGATTTACCAAAAGAGCAGCGCATCAGAAAATATGTTTCATAGTATTGAAATTGAAATTTATTGACATTTTATGCACTATATGTTATAATATGCTATATTATTATTAAGGAACATTAAATGCCTAATACCTTCCTTTTTTGTTACTGTCACAAGTTAAAAAAGAAAGGTGCTGCTTCACCAGGACTTTAACCCGGGACCCTTGGAATACCGTTATGCCACTCAACCGACTGAACTATATTGTATTAGGCTGCTTACGTATCATCTCCCTATATAGTGAACTGTTCAGAACCATTACATATTCCCCTGCTTTATTGAAATTCGTCCTTGAATGGGTACCGTGAACAATGTGAAATAGGACTTTGAGTTTTATACCATCCATATCACAGTCCCCTTTGGAATAGGTGATGGTATGAAACTTCAAGGCCAATTTCACATTGTTTTATTACTAACTGTTGGGAGTCAAATATCAAAGGGTGAGAAAAATATGCAACCTGACTGGGACTTGAGCCAGGGACCCTTTGAATACAGTGTCGAAGCTGACTACCGGCTAAGCTATCAGTCTGCTTGCACATCTTCTCCCCTCAATAGTGAACAGTTCTGAGATGTAAAAATGAAAAAATCAGTATTACAGTATCTTTTTTGTGATTCCATATACCATGCCAGTAATGGTCCCCTGACGGGGAAGGGAACACTTCCTTACTGATAGTGGATCTGAACCCCTCTGTCTGCATTATAGGACATTTGCCATACCTTTTTTTATTTTTCAATGAAATTTGGTAGATTTTTTTCCATATCAATCAAACAGATGTAATTGTTACTCAATATTATAGTAATATGTTGCAACCTTACTAACTTGGTTTCATTTCCTAGGAGTTTATAATAAGGTAAAATTACCCCCATTTTTAAAGATGTAATGTATTTGCTTGAACAAATAGGCATCATAGAAAATTTACCCTATCTTTCTTCATTGTCAATATAATTCAATGGGGTTTTCTTATTTTAGTCAATTAGATGTAGTAGTTACTTGATAGTATAACATTATTTGGCTTTACTTACTTTGTTTCAGTGACCAGAAGGTTATAACTTGGTAAACTTACCCAAATTTTCAATGAGTTAGTGTGGTAAAGTTATTAATAAGGCATTATAGAAAATTAGCCATTATTTCTTAATTTTCAATGAAATTTGTTGGGATTTTCTTATATAAGTCAATTTGATGTAGGTATAACTTAATATAATAATACTATGTTGCTTATATAACTTTGATTCATTTACCATGAGGTTATAATCAGGTAATATTACTCCCGTTTTTAATGAATTAGTGTGTAAGCTTGTATATTATACATCATAGGAAATAAGCCATAATTTTTTGAATATTCAATGTAATTTATTGAGATATTCTTATTTTAATCAATTAGATATGCTTGTTAATTAATATAATAGATTTATGTTGCACTTATAATTCTGTTTCATTTCCTAGGCTGTTATAATAAGGTAAAAATCCCCATTTTGTAGTGAATTGGTGTTCTATCTTAAGACAGTAAGGTATCTTAGGAAATTTGCAATAACTCTTATATTTTGTAATGAAATTTGGTGGAACTTCCTTACTTTAGTCAATTAGCTACGTTTGTTAATTAATATGATAGATTAATGTTCCTCTTATAGCTTTGTTTAATTTCCAAGGCTCTTATAATTAGGTAAAATGTTCATATTTTGTAGTGATTTAGTGCATTATCTTGGACATTTAGGCATCTTAGGAGATTTGCCATAATTCTCATATTTTGTAATGAAATTTGTTAGGACTACCTTATTTTAGTCAATTAGATATGTTTGTTAATTAATATAATAGATTTATGTTATATAAAAAAATTCTGTATCATTTCCTAAGAGGTTAAGTTTAAGGTAAAATTACCCGGTGTATCAACATTTTATGTGGCACTGCTTTCTTTAATAGTTGGGGTCCACATAGAATTTACTATAACATTAATATTTTTCATGGACAATTATTGAAATCTTCTTTTTTAAGTCATCTTATTAAAGCTTTTAATTAGTAAAGTTTATTTGGATTGAGTTATCAATTACATTACTTTTCATAGGGATCTTGTATTATGCTATTTTTAATGAACTGACCTACATATGAAGCATAAAATTGATATTGTAGGAAAATCAAAATTACAATCAATTGAAATTGTACAGGTCCCAAAAGATATATTAGTATGCAAAATGGGTTTTTGTAAATTTATATAAATACATAGGTGATATTTAAGTATATTATAGTTAGAATTTTATCAGTTATGAGGTTTATAACTTACTTGAGGGAAGTTAAACAAGTGACTTGGGACTACAGCATACCTATCTAACTCAGCTGAGAAAAATCTTCAAAGAATTATAAGGTTATATATGGAAAGGTTACATACTTTTAAGTTAGCAAAGGGCGACACAGGCTCATCTCGGGTTTCTCAAAGGGGTATTATGTTAAGTAATGATTACGGATTGATAAACCTTAAAAGTGATTTTAGATAATATACAGAAAAAAAATCAAGAAAGCTATAATTATATGTTTATCAAAGTGGGTTATATTATGGACCTCATATAAGATTAAGATATATTTGAGCCGCGTCACGATAAAACCAACATAGTGGGTTTGCGATCAGCATGGATCAAGACCAGCCTGCGCATCTGTTCGCTATCAGTGTTATACGGTTTGTAAGTGAACAGTAAAAGCCCAGGCCACATACAAAAATAGTAGTCTATGCCTAGATTATGAGCTGACAGATAGGGGAATTTTGTAAAGGGTGGGTTAGCCTGTCTGTTGTGATAACATTTCTAAAAAGTACAACATGGTATATTTTAGCCACCATAGAATTTTTTATCTAGAAAAAAATCTAGCTATTTTTATTTGTACAAAAATATAGAAATAGTACAATGTAGAATTATAATTATTAAAATGTTCACTATACATGTACAAATAATGAAACTATTAACAAATGTCGGTACAGCTGCGGTACGGTATTTAGAGGGTCACGGGTCCGAGTCCATGTCAGGATGCACTTTTTTCTCACCCTGTGACTGACATACATTTGTATAACCCAGCTAGAAATTAATTCACAATGCTAAGTAACCCTGGGAAATTCGAAGAAATATTTGCATACACAGTAGGTTTATAACTTTTCAGTATTTAAACAAGTAAAACGTGTAAGCGGCCGAATAGCTCAGAGGAACTCAAGAGCCGCGGAATCGTATTCCGAGTGTCAGGGGTTCGAGTCCCTGCCAGGCTGTTACATATCAATATAAATCTGTCATGAAAAATAGGAAGGAACTGTCTAAAATAATTATCACCCTAAATAGTATTCGGATAGGATTCGGACAGTCTTTGATGAAAAGTCAGAAAGGGGGTGGGGTGCTAGTCTGATTACCATCATTTGATGTCTGACGAACTTCTGACGCATAAACACCTGTTTGCTGAATTGAATATCAAACATGTTGCAATTAATTAGTAATTATATCTTATGCGTATGTAAAATAGGATTAAAACTAATTAATCTTCGGCGTAAAGCATGTAAAAATCTGACCAGTATTCACCGCGAGGTCACAAACTTTAAAACTTGAATGTAAATATCACAATAATACTTCTTTATATAATATTTCTATTCTTTGACAGGGACACAGAACATCTCTTACATGTTTAAGAAACAAGAAATTTACATAATATATCTAAGATATTCTTTTACTTCTCAATAGTAAGTTAACAGACGCAAAACACGGTACTTACGCGCTTAGACGAACGCAGACGCACGCTAAACGTTTCTGGGAATAAGAAACGCACGCTTTCAGATGCACGATAAACGAAAAACGATACACGGAAAACGATAAACGTTAAATGCTTGTAAACTATGCACGCTTGAGAAAGCGTTTCAGCAAACGCACGTTGCACGCTATACGCACGCACGTTACACGAAAAACGGACGCACGAAAAACGCTATTTTTGACAACCGAAACGTTCACCCTACTGTAACACTAAAGTTCGTATACGAATTTACCTTATGGCTGGAACATACGATACGGGGACGGGAAACACAGAGATTATCGCTCCTTATGTTTTCGTCCAATCAGGAATCAGCGCCGCCATTTTACAATTTTAGTTCAAAGCGGAGGAAATGTTCGGTCAGAAAATCGATCGGTATGTTTACTTAATGGGGTTGAAGTCCCCAGAAAGTAAATGAAATAATTCTGTAAGTATCATGACATTGATCCGATGTATTTTTAACATGGTGTATAAAGTATCTAATGTGAAAAACTGTGTCTGTTGAAAGAATAAAAATTTCAATCGAACTGATGTTTTGTGTAAATCGCCGAGAAGGGTAATTTTTGTCTGCAAAACTTCGTTTAAATAAGTAAATTACAAGAAAACTGACAGAATATTTTGATAGATCCTTTAAATATCTTTGGTTTAACGTAAAGATTATGGAATTTTAGTGAGATAAAATGAAATTTTACGAGTTCCAATTTTATGAACTGTGACAAAAATCCGAAAAATAAAATGGCGGAATGCAAACGTGTTGTACATTTTTTGTCCCGTAAATGAACGTTATATGTTAATTAAATTTGTCCCATGTTAGTATTTTTTAGTAAAACATAAACATATCTATAGCAAGAAAATAAAATTGGATCAATTATCTTGTAGGATTTTTCATTACGCAGTGTCAAATTTCAACAATTTTTTGGTGAAATCTGAGACCAAACTGGAGTTAAGTCGTTTGATATTTAAAAAGTAGAAAAAATAATGTTTTAGAAATAGGTAGGGTTTCTTTTAATTTTTGAAAACCATAATTTGTTATCTGAATGAAAAAAAAACAACATCTTTATTAAAAATTATAGATTCCTTAGCTGTGTCATTGGATATCATGAATGATATCCTGTCATGGTGTCAATTGTTATTTGCACTTTTAAAGTCTTTTATTTCCTTATTTTTTGTATAATATTATTTCAATCTTAATTGCAGGTTTATCGAAGATTGGAAACTTTCCATCAGATGCTTTCTTCACAAATTTCTTTTTGCTTGAGAATACCAGTAATGATGAACAAGATACTGAGTGTAAGGTCACAAAAGATACCATGAATTTGTCGATTCAGATTGAAGGATTAAAATATGTATTCGTGTCACAGAGAAAATGAAGTTGGACCTACTTGGGCATTCATATATCTTATGAAACATTTTTTCAAAGCCGCATGCCTCCAGATTACCCAAAATATTTCAAAGAAATTACACTTGGAAAAAAACATACTAAAACTTTAAGAAAAAGTAAACAGATCAAAGATTCAAGTGATAATTTATATCTTATGTGCAATTAATGACTGTATATTGCAGTATGTATCACCATATTTATAGTGCGTTACTAACGCAGTAGGGGCCATTCATGCACATTTTGACTTCTTTGTGGTAATTTATGTAGATTATAAGTGCCGATTTCAATGTGTCAAGTATTTCTTTGTTCATTTCACAATATTTTTTGTATTTGTATTCCAATTATGTTTACATTTGTACAGCTTATATTCATAAGATGAAATAAATATTTAAAAAAAAATTGTAATGTGTAATATATTGATAAAGTGTTTTTTATCAACTAGGTAGTCCTTCATGCTGCCTAGCCTTTTAATAAACGAGTAAAAGAATTTTAATAAGTCAGTGGTTCAGTATAAAAAATCACAGATATATTGTCCACTGGTCTGATGCATATATATACATACAGAAATGTCACATAACAAATGGGTCGAAGCTGGAACTCTAACAATGGGTATGCAGGTTGATGACCAGTATGACGTGGCCATTGCAAATATGAATCTTAGTTGTTATACTATTTACAGTTGAAAAAGACCACAGAAAGAAACATTGCATAAAAAAAGTTTTTCTAACCTTTAACATTCTTAACTCCATGTTTATTCCTTAAATGTCCTCTAATACCCGATACAGAATTGTATGACTTATCACACTGATCACATACATAAGTTTTTCTTTTATCATCTTTAGATTTTACACTTATCTTATCCTCATCATCAGAATTTTCATATTCACTAGCTGTAAATTCACCAAGAAAAAAATCTAAATCAATATCCTCAAAGAGAACAAAATCCGATTTTCCATATGCCATATTGCAGTGTATTAGTATGTATAAATTTCATATATGAACATTGCATCTTAAATGTTATCTTTTTATGAAAAATTTGAGTTATAATTTATAATTAAAACTGTCATTCAATAGCATATTTTAAAAGGGCATTATTGTGTGAAGTAAGAAAACAATCTATTCAAAAATGAAGATTAAAGCTAAATAAGAACATAATTACAAATATATGTGAAAAATATGTTTAAACATCAAAGATTATCAAAGGCCATGTTGAAAACAAACATGAATAAAACAAAGGTCAGACATTTTATTAAACCAAAAATTATTACATGTTATAAACATGTTTATATAGCAGCTGTACACTTTAATAACATAAATAATAAGTCCCAATACAAAATAATTTCTATGTTTATTGACACATTTGACATAATTATATTCTATAATTAATATAAACCATGTAATTAAAGCTATAATTGAAATTTAATGATTAAGTTATTTCTGAACGTATTTTAATTACAAAACGTAAATTTTCTATCATAATTAAATATGGTAAATTACTTTTCTGTATCTGTTTCATATTTATTAATATTAATATTTTTAAAATTGATCCAATGAAAAAAGTATTTAAGAAACCAACAACCTTTTTTTCCTACTATTTTGATTGCCCACCTCCCAAAATCACCGGAAAATTTATGCACGGAATATATCCGATCAACCCGGCATGTACCGTGATTACGGCGTTTAAACACGGCGCTTATCGATCGATCGATTCCAATTGGACACCAACATTGGCACTGATAAGAAAGCGCGAGTGACATATCCCGTTATAGTACATCCCAGCTTATGGTGACAGCAGCTAGAACAACACAGTAAGATAATTTCAGTCAATTAATTGTGTCAGTACAGCTGATTATCAATTTTAGTTTTGCAGAATAGATATGTCAATACAATGTAAATATAAATCTTTATTTTAAGGCACACTTACTTCTTCAATGGCTGCTTCCACATCTGCTCTGTTCAGATCTCTGATATCAAAGTCAGAGGTTTTTGGCTCTTTGCTGGAACATAAGTAGTTGAAAAGGACTTTATTCAAAAGTCTGGGACATGGATGGCCATTTATGACAGCATATGCTGTCGCTTTTCCAAACAAGAAATATGTCATTTCAGCAAGAAGTTTTAAGTCAAGCTTAAATGTTTTGTTTTCAAATATGGGACAGTTCTTGAACAACAAGGTAAAAAACTCTCTTGTCAAACCACCACAATCCACGCCATCCTCTCCTATAAAAGAAACACGAAAATTCTTCTCCCAATCATACTCAACTGTATCACAAAGTTCATCCATTGCAGTTTCCATGAACCTGCTTAGAACAATATTAATTTTCCAAAGTCCTGCATTTTCAAGTTTTGTTTTCACTTCTCCTAATTCTGAATGCATTGATTTGCAAGATGGAGCTTCATCAATATTAGGTAAAGGAGATGATGGTGAAGGGGGCTGTTCTGGCACGCCACAAAGAGCAGCATGGGTTTTCACATGCTCTGTAAACATTTTTAAACAAACTGGGCATTCCTTCATCATTACTGTCCTGAAAATATAAAAAAAACAATTAATGCTTAGATTACTTTAAATATTTTTGGTTTCATATATAAAGACACAATATCTTAGTGAATGAAGAAACAATATCTTAGTGAATGAACATGATCTTCGTTGGCACTTTTTTTCTTCGGGTTTTAAGCCTGTTTCAACAGTATTTTTGTTAATTACAGGCAATTTAATTTATCTTACACCTAAATTGATGTAGGCATCTGCTAGTGTAATTGAAATGCATGCATGTATTGCCCTTTGCTATTTTTTTATTCAGAAGGCCATGTTGAAAATAAGATAATTATGTAGTTCTTTCTTCTAATCTGTATACATGTATGTCTTAACATGTAACCTTCCTTAACTAAAGATCTCTTAGGAGTAGAAGTAATAGTAGCAGCGGTACAAGTAGTAGTAGCAGAAGTATATTTCAACAAATAATTTTAACATTGTGACCAAGCTTTTTGACAAAACAGAACTGAATTTTCTAAGTTTTCATTTAAAAGACATTCAACCATAATTATGTGTCCTGAAAAGAGTTATACTGCTGGAATTGATCAATCGCTGAAAATGTGAAAAACAGCAATGCAACTTAACAATAAAAGAAGCAAATGGGATAAACAATGATAACAGGTCATATATAAAGCAGTAACAGCTAAAAAGACTGTATACAGACAGAAATTTGGACTGGCAGACAGACAGTATTTTGTAAACCTAGTCCAAAATTCTCTCTGTTACTGACATAAACTAACAACTATAACAGTTCAAAAGGCGTAGTTTAACAAGCAATTATCATAGTATTGCAAGCAATCCATAAGTCCCCTACCGGTAAGAGCCCAAGCAACATTCTGAAGGGCCATTCACTTATGTTCCTATTTTAAGTTAATTTGTTGAAAAAGTTCTTTAAAAGTGAAACAGTTTTTATGTACAGACAGACGGACTGACGGACACTCTAGAGTTATTTTTTAAACATCCCTATTATCAAAATATATCATTTTTAAAATCCTATCATGATTGAAGAAGTTGGAGTAAAAATTACCAATTTCTCAAAAAAAAGTCTAAGTTCAAAAAGGGGCATAATTCTGGAAATAGTCTTGCTAGAGTATTGAACACTCACAAATGTTGAGTGACAATAAGAAACATTTATATGAAGTTTGAAGTAGATACATTCAGAAAAAGAAATTATTTAAAAAAACAATGTTTTTTTTCATGAAAATTTTAAGTTCAAGGGAGGTAATTCTGATAAATTTTGTACTAGAGTTGTAAACCTTGCCACATATGATATGGTTGATGACAAGCAACTTATATTTAAAGTTTGAAGAAAATACCTTAAGAAATAAAGAACTTATAGTGAAAAAACTTAAAAACTAGAATAAGAAATCTTGAAATTCAGTCTATTTGTTGCCATAGCAACCAGAATTTTCAACATAGGAAGATAAGAAAAGGATGTGCATAATTTCCATACTGCCATCTACCCATATGTCAAGTTTCATAAACATATTTTCAGTACTTTTTGTGTTATCACTGGATCCAGGTTATGTGTAAAATTTGCCATATTTTCAGTCTATTTGTTGCCATAGCAACCAGAATTCTCAACATAGGAAGAAAAGAAAAAGACGTGCATAATCTCCATACTGCCATCTATCCATATATCAAGTTTCATAAAAATATTTTCAGTACTTTTTGCGTTATCGCGGGATCCAGTTTATCTGTAAAATTTGTCATATTTTCAGTCTATTTGTTGCCATAGCAACCAGAATTTTCAACATAGGAAGAAAAGAAAAAGACGTGCATAATCTCCATACTGCCATCTATCCATATATCAAGTTTCATTAAAATATTTTCAGTACTTTTTGCGTTATCGCGGGATCCAGTTTTGTGGACGGACGGACTGACGGACGGACAGACGGACTGACGGACGGACAGACGGACTGACGGACGGACAGACGGACAGACGGACGGAGGGTAAACCTAAAGTCCCCTCCGGTAAACCGGTAGGGGACTAAAAACATAATTTCCAAACATTGCACACAAGCTGTATGTCATCTTTTTTGTTTTTGTTCATTAGCAAACATTAGCAAGGGCTCACAATGAGGTAAAATATGATAAACAAGCAATTATCATAGTATTGCAAGCAATCCATAAGTCCCCTACCGGTTAGAACCCCATCAACATTCTGAAGGGCCATTCACTAATGTTTCAATTTTTCTCTATTTTAAGTAAATTTGTTGGAAAAGTTCTTTAAAAGTGATCACAGGAAACAGTTTTTATGAACAGACAGACAGACGGACTGAGGACACTCTAAAGTTAATATTTGAAACATCCCTGTTACCAAAATATAACATTTTAAAAGCAAAATTCTTAAACAGGAGATAACTCTTGAATTAAAGATGCAATTTCATAAAAATTTTCAGCTCTTTTTGACTAATCACAAATATTGTTATATTTGCCATGTTTTAAGCCTATTTGTTGCCAAGGCAACTGATATTTTTTCAAAATAGGAAGAACAGATAAGACATGCATAATTTCAAGACTGCCATCTACCCATATGTCAAGTTTCATAAAAATATTTCCAGTACTTTTTGAGTTATCACTGGATTCAGTTTATGTGTAAAATTTGCCATATTTTCAGTCTATGTGTTGCCATAGCAACCAGAATTTTCAACATAGGAAGAAAAGAAAAAGACGTGCATAATCTCAAGACTGCCATCTACCCATATGTCAAGTTTCATAAAAATATTTCCAGTACTTTTTGCTTTATCACTGGATCCAGTTTATTTGTAAAATTTGCCATATTTTCAACCTATTTGTTGCCATAGCAACCAGAATTTTCAACATAGGAAGAAAAGAAAAAGATGTGCATAATCTCAAGACTGCCATCTACCCATATGTCAAGTTTCTTAAAAATATTTCCAGTACTTTTTGCTTTATCACTGGATCCAGTTTATGTGTAAAATTTGCCATATTTTCAGCCTATTTGTTGCCATAGCAACCAGAATTTTCAACATAGGAAGAAAAGAAAAAGACGTGCATAATCTCCATACTGCCATCTATCCATATACCAAGTTTCATAAAAATATTTTCAGTACTTTTCAAGTTATCGCGGGATCCAGTTTTGTGGACGGACGGACTGACGGACTGACAGACGGACAGACGGACGGACAGACGGACGGACGGACAGACGGACGGAGGGTAAACCTAAAGTCCCCTCCGGTAAACCGGTAGGGGACTAACAAGATCAACAAGGAAAGGCGGCGTTCAATGAACGCAAAGTAACGTAAAGTTACTATGATGTGTCAGTCATCTATCTCATCTAACTCAACTCTATATAATCTTGTACGAGTTTGAAACTATTTGAAACCATTAGAGCATTAAAACGTAGACAATCGATCCCGGTGTTT